TGGACGTAGTCAAATCTTGAACACAAGTGAAAATGTTACTCAAAATGTTGTTCACAAAAGCCCTGGTCACATATTAAACCTGCATCATTCAGAAGAATAAGCATGATGAACTCACTGATTATGTCAAACGTAATCAACGATTTGTACGTTTACACTCTCATAGTGTTACTCTGAACAATTCTATGGGGCAAATGAAAATAGCAAACACTAATCATCAGACATTTATATCGGTGTAACCACAGAACAAGTGTTTCTTGTCAAAGTGGTTACGAAGTTTGATGCAACTTATTTATCAAATTGAACATTCACATTTATTCAATTTGGACACACGAAAATATTTCCAATATGTGTTGATATTGACATTTTCACAGTAAAGAAACTTGATGAAAAATCGAAGAAAATAGACGAATAATCACAAAATGGGTTTAATAGTCCTCGTGCTATAAAACGGTCACAAACCGAATAAAGAAATGTAGAGTGTTTAGGAGAACAATGACCAGCATTCACAAATGCTTTGAAAAGAAACAAGCAATCATGTCAAACATTGCATATGACACCTGTCATGTAACTTGACACTGTTTAAAGGTCAACAGTTCACTAGTCAAGATTCATTTCGTTGAACTTATTCTTGTAAGTTTAGATCACGGTCTGTAAGCGTGAAATAATCTCGATCTGTTAAATGCCTTTAAAAAAATCATGTTTTTCTCTGATCCCAATACGCACATTCTTTCGACATACTGACAAGTCAAACAAATTCAAGTTAACTCTCAACAACAGTTTCCAAGCATAAAATGATCTTTTGAACGAGGAAATACTACGATGGATGACAATTAGAAAGGGCTCAAACAACTGTTAACTTCAGCGTATCAGGATCTCTTCTCAATTGATAGACAAGATTCGAGAAAGGAATAAGAAGAATACAGCAGTTAACAACAGCCGAACAAGAACAGATAAGTTCAATGCACAAGCTAATGCACACGAACTGACAAGAGGAGGAAGAGGAGCATTAGATCAGACAAGCAGAAATATGTGAAGGACTTAGCAAAAACAGCGGAAAAAGCTTCAAGTGAAGGAAATATGAAACAGCTATGTTACGCGACGAATACACTATAAGAGAGCTGAGGAGTCCATGCAAGTACAAAGAAAGTAGGACAATCACTCTGATTCACGTATAGATTAACATATATGTCGAACATTTTAAAAAACTCCTGACTGAGTGATCTCCATTGCATCCACCAGACATCGAAGCATCAGCGACAGAACTTCCTATAGATGTCACTCCACCAACGATTGAAGAAACCATGATGATGTTCATCAGACAGATCAAGAGTGGGAAATCAATAGGACCTGATAGTATACCAGCTGAAGCATCGAATTCGGACACAGAAGTAACTGCTTCGACACTACAGAGATTACGTTAGTAAGAACAAACATTAAATCAAAGTCCACGAACGTCGGATTCCCAGATTGTTGGGTAGAAGATATCGCAGTTGAATATGCCATAATTGAAATTTCTTGGACATCTGTCGCTAAAACTCCAAAGAATTCCTCTAACTAAGAGGATGTAAATTACATTATTTAATGTATATATAAGTTTCAAAATCTTGTTAAACAAAAACTTGAAAACACAAACAATTTTATCAATTTTATGGAGTATAAGTACTACTTACACACCAGACCAACGTCTCAAAATGTTATCAGATCATAAAAATTAATCAAATGTACCTTTACAGATAAGCATGCATTCTGGTTATTAGCTATAATAATTAATAGTTGTAAAATGTGATCGATAAACGAACCCACCAATAATAAAGGGAAACGCCCACCACCACATTAACTTCCTTTGACCTTGTACGACTGTATCTTTTTGTTAACCAATCACAGTTTAATGTTCATTGTAAAACAATATTTGCTTGTTGACTCATTTTTCCTATTCTCTGGCTACTGTTCGGTATGTTATTGTCTCTTTTTCCGTGTATTAATAGACTGTACTGTTTCGTTTGCACACTAACGATGTTAATTTATGTTTTAGAAACAGATAAAGTTTATATAGCCAAATAGCTTACTTGTTCTGACTTTGGCCAAACCAAGACTCTGTATTCGACGCTCTAGAGAATAGCTTAGAATTAAACCTGTAGGAAATTGCTCCCTACAAAGTTTCGAACAGTATCTCATCAAAGTTTCGTACATTGGGTACCTTTATATGTCTATGGAGAGTCGTAAAACTGATCATATTCCTGAATTGTCTCCTCATTATTCAGAAACCCATAGTGATGACCAGCTCGGAGGAAATACCTACCGAATGGATCCCTTGTTAGAGTTAGAATTAGCTAAAGTACGTTTAGCTCAGACAGAAAAGGAAATCGAGCTAGAACGGTTACGCCAAAAAGGAAGAGAACATTATAATCAAGTTATGGCTGACAAGGCGATGACGTATGAGTCTACATCTGTCGTTGATGTTCCTCCTGGAAAAGACTGGGTAACAATGATGTTTAGAGCTTTAGACCTACCAAAGAAAGAGATTGTAAGGTTTGATGGTAACCCTATGAACTATTGGAGCTTCATACGGAATTTTGAGGACTGCTTTGACGAGAGCATTGGATTTCGATCTAGGTTAAACTATTTGATCCAGTACTGTGATGGTGAAGCTAAAAACACTATTGTTCATTGCGCATTGCTTGAGCCAGAAGAAGGCTATCGTAAAGCACTAGATCTTCTCGAGGAAGCATTTGGTCAGAAACATATAGTAGCTCATGCATTTATTGACAAGATGCTGAACATCCCTGCCATTAAAGGGACCGATCCATACAATTTAAGAAGGTTGTCTCGTGAGATGCATATTTGTGAGCTAGCACTCACGCAGATGAACTATGTATCTGATCTTAATTCTACAAAGACTATCGAATGCATGTTTTTAAAACTCCCGTTACACCTGCAAAGAGAATGGGTTAAAGTTGCGTGTAGAATTCTTAAGACAGGCAGAGAACCTTCATTCAAGGACCTTTGTGAATTTGTGAAGGAGCAGTCGGACATTGCTAATACTAGGTACGGCTTACTTGTCAACCGCGGTAGTAATAGTGGCAATAAAGATGTTGGTGTTTTAAAAAAGAAATTTAGTACGGATTACAATGCAGCAAGAATATCTTATGCGAGTGCTAGTGATGGTAATGCTCTCTTACGCAGTTCATCTTGTTTGGAGTGCTCCAATAATCATTCCTTAGATCAATGTCAAAAATTTAAAGACAAGAGTGTTAGAGAAAGGAAGGAATTCGTTCTTAGACACAAGTTGTGTAATGTATGCCTGAAGGCAAACCACGTAGCAAAAAACTGTCGATCGCCGAGGTCGTGTACTGTCGAAGGTTGTGGCTGGAAACACCATACCCTGTTACATGAGTTGCGGGAAGAACCAAGGAATACTAATATTGACGCACACATTAACACTCAGATATGTATGGAGAAAAGTGCTGAGCGTGTACAGAAACAAGCAGCATTCGCAATAGTGCCTGTACTGGTGAGGAATGGAGAAAAGGTAGCACAGACTTGTGCCTTCTTAGATAGTGGGTCGGATGCCTCACTCATTACAGAAGATCTAGCTAAAAGGTTGAATTTAGAAGGAGAACCTAAGATGATTTCGTTGAAAACGTTGGATAACCATTCCACAATTCAGTGTAAAGAGCTTCAACTAGAGGTTTCCTCCTTAGATTCGTCTTCGTCATTTAAAATCCCAAACGTATGGACAGTCGAGAGATTGCCTATAATGCGCAGGACGGTACCAACGATGTCTCAAATAAAATCCTGGACGCATTTAAAAGACATAAGTTTTCCTGGAGTAGAGGATGGGAATGTCAAACTGTTGATAGGGTGCAACGCACCGAGTGTACACGAAATGAAAGAGATAAGAGCTGGAAAGCCGAATGAACCATTCGCCGTGAAGACTCCGTTAGGTTGGACGCTGTTCGGTTCCTATAGGGAACCTTGTAAAAGCAATTGTGCACTCAACCACCTCTCAGCTAAAGAGGAATTAGAGGATAAGTTCGAACAGTTGTACTCGACTGAATTCAAAGATCCATTTAGTCGTACTTTATCGATGTCTGTGGAGGATCGTACAGCATTAACAGAATCCACATATGGTGTCGCGGAGTATACTTGTTCCGAAAATATCTCTCGTCAAGTTCATTGTTCGTTTTTATTAACTGAGTATGAGGTTGTTAAGCCGAAAACCGAAGCACCATCTGCTAATAAATCCAAATCAACTCTAAGAAAGCTTAAAGAGAAGAAGGACATCAAACTGAAAGTGAAGAATACGAAAAAGCCGAAGCAGGTAGCACATATTCGCCGTGGTATCGAGGATGGTGTTGAGAAAGGCGCCCTTATACGAGTTGTGAACAAGAGTAAGGGTGCATCTGGTAGTTCTATAGGAGCCAATGCTATTCTTAGACAGATCATGTGTAGTTGGAACCAGAATAAGACAGTAAATGCCCTTTTAGAGAGAGATTGTGAATGGCGCTTCAAACTTCCGAGGGCTAGTCAACGAGACAGTGTATGGGGACGCATCATAAAGTCGATAAGAAGAATTCTGCGATCACTATTGTTTCAGAAGATATTGATGGATGAGACTTCGAGAGACTTAGTGTTAGTAAAAAATGTTTGCTCACCGAGAAGTCTATGGTTCAAAGCTATTGTTGAACAAGTAAGCTATGGCTCTGACGGACAAGTTCGCACGGCAAAGTTGAGAACTTCAAACGAAGAAATCGTCAGAGATGTGCGAAGCCTATGCCTGCTGGAAGAAGCCGGTTGTCTGACGGCGACGACGGCCCTGGACAATGGACGTGGTGCGCGTTTCGGGGGGAGTGTAAAATGTGATCGATAAACGAACCCACCAATAATAAAGGGAAACGCCCACCACCACATTAACTTCCTTTGACCTTGTACGACTGTATCTTTTTGTTAACCAATCACAGTTTAATGTTCATTGTAAAACAATATTTGCTTGTTGACTCATTTTTCCTATTCTCTGGCTACTGTTCGGTATGTTATTGTCTCTTTTTCCGTGTATTAATAGACTGTACTGTTTCGTTTGCACACTAACGATGTTAATTTATGTTTTAGAAACAGATAAAGTTTATATAGCCAAATAGCTTACTTGTTCTGACTTTGGCCAAACCAAGACTCTGTATTCGACGCTCTAGAGAATAGCTTAGAATTAAACCTGTAGGAAATTGCTCCCTACAAAGTTTCGAACAGTATCTCATCAAAGTTTCGTACATTGGGTACCTTTATATGTCTATGGAGAGTCGTAAAACTGATCATATTCCTGAATTGTCTCCTCATTATTCAGAAACCCATAGTGATGACCAGCTCGGAGGAAATACCTACCGAATGGATCCCTTGTTAGAGTTAGAATTAGCTAAAGTACGTTTAGCTCAGACAGAAAAGGAAATCGAGCTAGAACGGTTACGCCAAAAAGGAAGAGAACATTATAATCAAGTTATGGCTGACAAGGCGATGACGTATGAGTCTACATCTGTCGTTGATGTTCCTCCTGGAAAAGACTGGGTAACAATGATGTTTAGAGCTTTAGACCTACCAAAGAAAGAGATTGTAAGGTTTGATGGTAACCCTATGAACTATTGGAGCTTCATACGGAATTTTGAGGACTGCTTTGACGAGAGCATTGGATTTCGATCTAGGTTAAACTATTTGATCCAGTACTGTGATGGTGAAGCTAAAAACACTATTGTTCATTGCGCATTGCTTGAGCCAGAAGAAGGCTATCGTAAAGCACTAGATCTTCTCGAGGAAGCATTTGGTCAGAAACATATAGTAGCTCATGCATTTATTGACAAGATGCTGAACATCCCTGCCATTAAAGGGACCGATCCATACAATTTAAGAAGGTTGTCTCGTGAGATGCATATTTGTGAGCTAGCACTCACGCAGATGAACTATGTATCTGATCTTAATTCTACAAAGACTATCGAATGCATGTTTTTAAAACTCCCGTTACACCTGCAAAGAGAATGGGTTAAAGTTGCGTGTAGAATTCTTAAGACAGGCAGAGAACCTTCATTCAAGGACCTTTGTGAATTTGTGAAGGAGCAGTCGGACATTGCTAATACTAGGTACGGCTTACTTGTCAACCGCGGTAGTAATAGTGGCAATAAAGATGTTGGTGTTTTAAAAAAGAAATTTAGTACGGATTACAATGCAGCAAGAATATCTTATGCGAGTGCTAGTGATGGTAATGCTCTCTTACGCAGTTCATCTTGTTTGGAGTGCTCCAATAATCATTCCTTAGATCAATGTCAAAAATTTAAAGACAAGAGTGTTAGAGAAAGGAAGGAATTCGTTCTTAGACACAAGTTGTGTAATGTATGCCTGAAGGCAAACCACGTAGCAAAAAACTGTCGATCGCCGAGGTCGTGTACTGTCGAAGGTTGTGGCTGGAAACACCATACCCTGTTACATGAGTTGCGGGAAGAACCAAGGAATACTAATATTGACGCACACATTAACACTCAGATATGTATGGAGAAAAGTGCTGAGCGTGTACAGAAACAAGCAGCATTCGCAATAGTGCCTGTACTGGTGAGGAATGGAGAAAAGGTAGCACAGACTTGTGCCTTCTTAGATAGTGGGTCGGATGCCTCACTCATTACAGAAGATCTAGCTAAAAGGTTGAATTTAGAAGGAGAACCTAAGATGATTTCGTTGAAAACGTTGGATAACCATTCCACAATTCAGTGTAAAGAGCTTCAACTAGAGGTTTCCTCCTTAGATTCGTCTTCGTCATTTAAAATCCCAAACGTATGGACAGTCGAGAGATTGCCTATAATGCGCAGGACGGTACCAACGATGTCTCAAATAAAATCCTGGACGCATTTAAAAGACATAAGTTTTCCTGGAGTAGAGGATGGGAATGTCAAACTGTTGATAGGGTGCAACGCACCGAGTGTACACGAAATGAAAGAGATAAGAGCTGGAAAGCCGAATGAACCATTCGCCGTGAAGACTCCGTTAGGTTGGACGCTGTTCGGTTCCTATAGGGAACCTTGTAAAAGCAATTGTGCACTCAACCACCTCTCAGCTAAAGAGGAATTAGAGGATAAGTTCGAACAGTTGTACTCGACTGAATTCAAAGATCCATTTAGTCGTACTTTATCGATGTCTGTGGAGGATCGTACAGCATTAACAGAATCCACATATGGTGTCGCGGAGTATACTTGTTCCGAAAATATCTCTCGTCAAGTTCATTGTTCGTTTTTATTAACTGAGTATGAGGTTGTTAAGCCGAAAACCGAAGCACCATCTGCTAATAAATCCAAATCAACTCTAAGAAAGCTTAAAGAGAAGAAGGACATCAAACTGAAAGTGAAGAATACGAAAAAGCCGAAGCAGGTAGCACATATTCGCCGTGGTATCGAGGATGGTGTTGAGAAAGGCGCCCTTATACGAGTTGTGAACAAGAGTAAGGGTGCATCTGGTAGTTCTATAGGAGCCAATGCTATTCTTAGACAGATCATGTGTAGTTGGAACCAGAATAAGACAGTAAATGCCCTTTTAGAGAGAGATTGTGAATGGCGCTTCAAACTTCCGAGGGCTAGTCAACGAGACAGTGTATGGGGACGCATCATAAAGTCGATAAGAAGAATTCTGCGATCACTATTGTTTCAGAAGATATTGATGGATGAGACTTCGAGAGACTTAGTGTTAGTAAAAAATGTTTGCTCACCGAGAAGTCTATGGTTCAAAGCTATTGTTGAACAAGTAAGCTATGGCTCTGACGGACAAGTTCGCACGGCAAAGTTGAGAACTTCAAACGAAGAAATCGTCAGAGATGTGCGAAGCCTATGCCTGCTGGAAGAAGCCGGTTGTCTGACGGCGACGACGGCCCTGGACAATGGACGTGGTGCGCGTTTCGGGGGGAGTGTAAAATGTGATCGATAAACGAACCCACCAATAATAAAGGGAAACGCCCACCACCACATTAACTTCCTTTGACCTTGTACGACTGTATCTTTTTGTTAACCAATCACAGTTTAATGTTCATTGTAAAACAATATTTGCTTGTTGACTCATTTTTCCTATTCTCTGGCTACTGTTCGGTATGTTATTGTCTCTTTTTCCGTGTATTAATAGACTGTACTGTTTCGTTTGCACACTAACGATGTTAATTTATGTTTTAGAAACAGATAAAGTTTATATAGCCAAATAGCTTACTTGTTCTGACTTTGGCCAAACCAAGACTCTGTATTCGACGCTCTAGAGAATAGCTTAGAATTAAACCTGTAGGAAATTGCTCCCTACAATAGTGGTATTAATAGCAATAATAATAATAATAATAATAATAATAATAATAATAATAATAATAATAACAATACCAATAATGATAATAGTAACAATAATAGCAAGTATTCATAAAGTAACTAAGCTTGTATGGCCATTTTTATATCTTTGCACTATAAAACACATTCCCGTCCATCTGTAATAAAGAAAACTGTATATTGCGAATAATAGTAGAATATATGTACGATCGAATCATTGTACACATATATATACGTTTCAGTGACGAATGGATATTAGAACATTGAAAATATTAATAATAATAATAATAATAATAATAATAATAATAATACCACATGAAAACCGAAATATGAATACGTAACATTGAATAAGAGAGAAAAAGAAGAATGAGTATTTTGTTACGGAGACACAAGTACAGATGAATCGATAAACAGATCGATTGATCGATCTGTGAATTCACAAATCAGTTATCAATTAATTCAACAGAATAAAACTGTCTTATAGTGAAATTGTTGATTAGTCTAAAAAATGCATTCAAAGTAATGTGATTGTATTGGGAACATTTTTATTTAACCAATTACTGATAACATCACGATGAGTTTTTGTTCATTTCATGTTTTCCTTTGACCTTTTAAACAAATCATTTAATCCACGTTTCAGAACATTTTTTTCAAGTAGTTTTTGTCTAGAATTTTGCATAGCAAGTACCAAGTGAATGAAAAGCCAACTATTTGTATTCATGAATTCGAAAAACAAAAACTTCATAACTACCAAATAAATTAGGTTGACTAGTATAGTAGTAATCAGTTCGAGCGTGTGGGGTGGAAACACCTCAATTCGTGGATTGGATTGCTGTTTGTTCAAGATATGAAGCATATATCTTGATATTAATCTTTGAAATAATAACTCCACCAACTAATAAACCGTCAGAAAATGTGATTAGAATACATATCTTGATACACTTTCCATTGACTGCAGAATCACTTATCTGATGTTCTATCCATTCTGTCAACACTATCATATCCCGCTAATAGTTAAGTTGTATGAATTATAGCTTGAAGTGTTTATTAATTAGAATTTCATTAAAGCATGAACAATTCGAACAGGTGTTGACCAAACTGAATTACTTATATTAATGGATGTTGTTTGAACAACAAAAACATAAAAGGATGATTGAATGCTAGAAATGAATTGTCCTGAATCACAACCCCATACAACCTGGAAAACATTCTCGAACTAACAGGTGATGAAATGACTAGTATTACTAACTCTATAAAACTCTGCTTCCGTTCATGTCAAAACTAACTATACCAATGTATTTTCCATCTACATGGTAAATAGTCAGTTGTTCATAGTTGAATTTTCAAACAAGTAACTCAACAACTTTTAGTTCAGTAACTGTGCACCTTATTTTATGTAAACTGTGAATTAAGCTGAATTATATTCATAATCACAAAAATAATTAATTAATTAAATATAAACAAATAGGTTTAACTGTATTATTGTTAAATGAAAACGTGGCAGACATCAAAAGAATGAACAGAAATTATGGACAATTGGAAGGGATGGCCAAGGTAAAAATTGGATGGAGAATACTGGTGAATGTCCTATGCTCTTCAACGAGGGATAACAAGCGTTAGTAAGTGATTGCAGAATTACAATCATACATAAGCTACTTGAACAATGCAGAAGTGAAAGAATTGGATTGCTCGGGGTTATATATATATATATATATATATATATATATATATATATATCATATCCAAACTATGCTTGCTTGTAAAGACAGACGAACTTTGAAATATATATCAAAGTTATTCTAGCTAATATAGTTGTATTACAGGAACAATACCATCTACAAATTTATGTGAAATATTGTGACAGAAAAACAATATTTAGATGATGAGAATATGGCAAACCTTGTTCACAATCTTACTGACAGAATACAGTCACTACTTAGGTTTCCTTCTGTGCCAAATAGAACATGATCTACGCTAATCATAAATACTTATTATACACCCTATGGATTCAAAAAGTGTCAGCGAAATCCTAATGCCTAGCAAATTTAACATTATGCTTAGAAAAATCAAAATGTCAACACTTGACAACATGACAATCTGATTATGTCTCCACATCCTAACTGACATAAACGAAAATCTTTCTTTTCTGAAAGTAGAGACAGTATGTTATATTGACCTAACCAATCAGATGTTAATGGACATTTAGACAGATCAAATGCTGTTACGTGGTCACACGTTAAGATAAAGATATAATCATGCGTTTATTGTGGTTGATGTTTGAACTATGCGCCTGGTATAGATTACCACTATGATATTAAACTATGAATAAATTCAACGTGTCTGACAATATTGATTTAGTTTCGTCACACATCTTTGAAAGCACTTCAATTATGTTTGGGGTGAATGCAAATACTAACTTCAAAAGAACCAATCTTATTTTATGTCACAATGCAATATAGTGGGCATATAAAAAATTTATTGACCGTGGCTCGTTCACTCAATTGAGACGAAATGCTGCATTACATTTTGTGACACTGCAGTAAAACGTTTACTAAATCGATGATCACAGAAACATGAATATAGTAAAACATAAGTAAAACACAGAATAGAAATAAATTAGTCACTAACACTTTTACACTCGTTAACATCATTTACTGAAATATGTTACCACTCTTCAATAAATAGTGATGTAAATATCAATTCCGTTATTGAAATCGGAATGAAGTTAAACTTTAATTAATTTAATAAACCCATGCATTCAATTCATTCATCTAAATGTTCCTCTACATAACACTTTGTATTCACAAATATAAATCTCAAACTTAATCGATTCGAAAATTGAAACAAATGTCCTCTAGAGAAAATGAAGAAGTTACCGATGCTTTTGTTTAACTGTGCTAAAAACATCCATCATTCACACACTTTGATTGTGACTTCGCGCGAATTCGGTTACGTTCTGTAACAAAGCTTGTATCGTGGCACGATCTCGGTATCCTTTCGATACCACGAGATCACAAGCAAATATATCTCGACTTGGTCCATTAACTGCCTTTTTTATATTTGTCTTCCGGGGAATTTTATGGAGTCATTTAGCACGCGTTTCTTGGTAGCGGTGTTCATGGTCGATTGCGACTCGACGCCACGCTACAATATCTAACACAAATGTTTTAGATATCTTGGTAAACATGATACTTTCAGACCACTGAGTCTGAAGTTGTGGTCTGCAAATTATTTCACTTCATTTTTGATATTTGCCTAAAGATCATCCAATTTCATTGGTAATGTTCGCTACACTCGTGATATGACTGAAATCCACCTAGTACAGCTTCTCAGTAGAACGTTGCGAAACCACATTTGAGTTATTCTCTATGGGACAAATGATCCAAATCTGCAGTTACATTTATTTAGTTTTACGTGTATCATGAAATTATATTAACTGTATATGGAATCTAACTTTTTATATTCAATTTTCAATCCAGTACAAACGTGGATTAACAAGGAGCATATTCAGAAGGGTCAATCGAATTTGCACTAGCGATGCAGTTGAGAGAGACAATCAAATGTCTTTACTGGAGCAATGATGAATGACAGTTACTTACTTGAGCAAAGTTGTAATAAGAACTACAAATTTCTAGGTATCCAAGTAGCGAGTCTATAATACTGCACCATTAAGAGGTAACTCACATGGTCTTATGGTAGTGTAACAGCATAGGTTGGTTGGTTAAGAGTTGACCACAAACAACCAAGCATATGCCAAAATAGTATTGTTCAAGTATTCATTCACTTCCTTATTTTGTATAAGCGTTATATTCCTTATTATCTAATATTGAATATTGAAAGCCTTTGTTTGTCTGAACAGATAATCCCACGCTCCACTATGACTGCGCTAAGATCGAAATAAAGACCTATTCACTTCTTGTCTGGCTTCTTCTATCAATAGCACGAGGGTTACCTATAGGCACGAAACTGGTGAGCCCTTTTTGAACACAAATTAACCTTTTTATTAACTGTGTTCACATTTCCTCACGGAATTAGTACTTTTACAAAATCAAAAAATTTTTTCATATATATACGATTGTACAGCTTGATAATAAATTCGTTGAAAAGAGATCCCTTCGCTGAAATTCGTGTTTTAATTTTAATGTTTAAATGGGAATTATCTGTCAACCTCATTTTTGTTATTAATATTATTTTTTTACTCAATCGTAAAAGTAGACCTGATTATCCGTAAACTAAGTTGGGTATATAAATAGTCTATTTTTAAATTATCTTAAGTTTTTCGTGTTATAGAAACCATTTTTTCGTGTTAATTTTATTGCTATATTTGTCACATACCTCATGTCAGACTTAAAAGAAACCCATAATCTGGGGGATTTGTCACCAGTGGAGATAGACACTGTTATGACTACGAAATCTCGACTTCCAGAATTTGATCGTAGTGATCCTGAGTTGTGGTTTGCTCAACTAGAGCATTATTTCACGAGACACAATATCAAATCTGAAGGGATTCGCTATAGAGATTTGTGTTCTATCCTTCCTCCTTCAGTCGCCAAAGAAGTCCGTGACTTGATTTTAGATCCACCATCACCACAACCGTACACCATCTTAAGACGAGAGATGATGAACCATTTACCATTATCAGATTGTCAAAGAACCCAAAGACTTTTTCAAGGTGAAACACTAGGTGATCGGTCGCCGTCACAGTTTCTACGTCACCTCCAAGTCTTAGTGGGTGATAACACAGTGGGTGAAGTAGTCCTAAAACAAGGATGGATACAAGCTCTCCCATGCTACGTCCAACACTGTTTGGATGCACAAGATCCTGAAACCTCATTACCTCATTTAGCGCGTATAGCTGATAGAATAATGGAAAGAGTTCCTCCAA